TAAATGTTTAAATAGCATTTATTTTTGTATTGTTATTTTTATGCTATAAGTGGTGTTAAAAAATATTCTGCACATTAATGGGCCAATGTGTTATGATTTGGGATGTAGTGGGCTGCTGTGGGCCAGAAAGTCCAGGGCCACTTTTTGGTCCCAGTCCGCCCCTGCGTCTGGCACCAACAACCATGCCACGCTCAAAATTGCTTAAATCACCTTTCTTTCCCATTCTGACATTCAGTTTGGAGTTCAGGAGATTTTCTTGACCAGGACCACACCCCTAAATGCATTGAAGCAACTGCCATGTGATTGGTTGATTAGATAATTGCATTAATGAGAAATTGAACAGGTGTTCCTAATAATCCTTTAGGTGAGTGTACAATATATTGACAAAAATTTTGGGATGTCTCCCTCACATGAACTTTAATCACATCCCATTCTTAATCCGCAGGGTTTAGTATGGAGTTGACCCACCCTTTGCAGCTATAACAGTTTCAGCTCTTCTGGGAAGGGTCCTAAGGTTTAGGAGTATGTTTATGGGAATTTTTGACCATTCTTCTAGAAGCGCATTTGTGAGGTCAGGCACTGATGTTGGACGAGAAGTCCTGTCTCCCAGTCTCCGCTCGAATTCATCCCAAAGGTGTTCTATCGGGTTGAGATCAGGACTCTGTGCAGACCAGTCAAGCTCCTCCACACCAAACTCGCTCATCCATGTCTTTACAGACCTTGCTTTGTGCACTGGTGTGCAGTCATGTTGGAACAGGAAGGGGCCATCCCCAAACTGTTACCACAAAGTTGGGAGCATGAAATTGTCCAAAATGTCTTGGTATGCTGAAGCATAAAGAATTTTTTCACTGGAACTAAGGAGCCAAGCCCAACCCCTGAAAAACAACCCCAAACCATAATCCCCCCCCCCCATCAAACTTTACACTTGGCACAATGCAGTCAGGCAAGTACCGTTCTCCTGGCAACCGTCAAACCCAGACTCGTCCATCGGATTGCCAGACAGAGAAGCGTGATTCGTCACTCCAGAGAACATGTCTCCACTGCCCTAGAGTCCAGTGGCGGCGTGCTTTACACCACTGCATCTGACGCTTTGCTTTACACTTGGTGATGTAAGGCTTGGATGCAGCAACTCGCCATGGAAACCCATTCCATGAAGCTCTCTACGCACTGTTCCTGAGCTAATCTGAAGGCCACACGAAGTTTGGAGGTTTGTAGCTATTGACTCAGCAGAAAGTTGGCAACTTCTGCGCACTGTGCGCCTCAGCCTGCGCTGACTCCACTCTGTGATTTTACGTGGCATACCACTTCGTGGCTGAGTTGCTGTTGTTCCCAATTGCTTCCACTTTGTTATAATACCACTAACAGTTGACCTTGGAATATTTAGAAGTGAGGACATTTTACGAATGGACTTATTGCACAGGTGGCAACCTATAAGGGTACCACGCTTGAATTCCCAGAGATCCTGAGAGCGATCCATTCTTTCACAAATGTTTGAAGAAGCAGTCTGCATGCCTAGGTACTTGATTGTATACAACTATGGCCATGGAAGTGATTGGAACACCTGAATTCAATGATTTGGAGGGTTGTCCCAATACTTTTGGCAATATAGTATATAACAATGTGATTTAAGCACTGAACTGGCCAGAAAGGGTTGGTAAATCCTACAATCCCCTGCGCAGGAATAATTTGGAGACACTCGCAGCTCCGCTTACATCGAGACAGGTTCTCTTATCACCCCCAATGAAGACGAAAACGTTACAATTAGGGTTAGCAAGTCAATGCAGACTTGTTTGAAAGGGCAGACTTGTTTGCAATTTGTTACAGCTCGCACACCTGTTTATTTTTTCCTTTGATTTGTCTACTATTTATGCTATCAATGTCTGCTCATAGTAACGTTACTTCCTGTATAGCCCGGACAAAATGGTGGATTCGGCGAATGCAGATTAGTCAGATCGCCTGTCAATCAAACTCGGTGAAGGGTGAACTATGAAAGAGCTCTCTAATTCAGCTCTTAATACTAACAATTATTATTATTAAAGAGCTCTCTAATTCAGTTTTATTGCTAGTAAGATTTGAATTGTAGAGCTCTCGAATTCGATTAGTAAAAAAAAGAAAAAAAAGTAGCCTAACGCTGGGAACATTATAAGATAAATGGCTTGCCATATGTGAGCGAAGAACGACATGATCTGGGCATATTTCTGACAATTTGATAATTTAATTAATAGTCTGTATTTTACTGATAACTTAAACTATGTTAAAATAAATTTCACTGGAATAATTTGAGGAATGTTTCATTTGCATAGAAGTGTTGTCTTTCGTAATGCACCCTCGCGTGAAGTGGAAAATCGATTCCTGAGCGCGCTAAGAGTGAGCGTTATCGGGAAACCGGGCCCTGATACATATTTTATCTGCAGGTTCAAAAAAAGTGTTTGTAATATACGTTCGTAGAGAGAAATGAGTGTTCACCGTCTGAATTCTGAGATAAATCTTGATAAAGCAGAAAATAAAATATCTCACGATCCCCAATGTGGGCATATTTCATTTGAAAACACGTATTTGGCCGTTTCGTAGAGAAAAGTCTTAATTGTTGTCGCCTTTGTTGTGTTAGAATTTGATTAGAGAAAAACTCAAAGTTGTGGAAATCATGTAGTGTTGAAACATTAGTAACTTTGTGGGCTATGTGTCTCAAACAAATGCATAATATTCCCATATTTGTCTGCTACAAATTAGTGTGTCTGCAACAAATTAAAGTATTTCAGAAAAAAATCCCAAAGTACAACCCCAAATCCACAGTTGGGACATTTTGTAAAACGCAATAAAATCAAGAATCTGTTATTTGTTAATTCTCTTAAACCTTTATTTAACTGCAAATTAATTGGTGATTGATTTCCAATGTTTTCACTGACCAACTTAATTGCATTTTGTAAATATACGCTTTTTTTTATTTTGATGGCTGCAACACACTCCAAAAAAGTTGGGACAGAGATTTACCACTGTGTCACATCACCTATAGTCTTTTAATTACACTTTTCGTTTGGGAATCGTTTGGGAATAGAGGAGGCTAATTGTTACAGTTTTACAAGTGGAATTGTTGCCCAATCTGGGGTGCGTTCCCTTCAACGACGTAACTCGATGCTTCAATACCATAGTACGATGCATCCTTGAAGAAATCAAGTCACGACTGTTTCCCGAAACCATATTGTCGCACAGTGGTCGTTTAACCACGTTGGTTTATGACATCACGCACATGTCATGGTGGAGTAGCCTAATAACCTATTTTAATGAAACTGTTTGAGATCGAATTAATGCTAGATATTTTGATATAAATTACAGTCATTGCATCTGAGGAACATTTCTAATTATTTCCAGATTCAATAATAGGCTCGTTCTTAGTCGAGCATGTTCGCACATGCGCAGTCTTCAAAAACGGTGCTTTAAATATCTTGACAAACTCAAATATGTACAACACATTTGTATGTATTCTAAATAAAAGACACAGGTTGTACTAAATGTCAGCTTGCTTATTTTGCTCAAGATACAGATTTATTAAGTCCACATATCATTAAATCTAGAAACTCTCTCTGCTTAACCACAGCTCGAGAGCTGTCTTTCCAACCACACAACTTTGCGATGCTATTTGCGAATGTTCGATGGTTTCGGGAAACACCGGCTCGTTGAACTATGCTGATAACGGCGGAACTTGCGACCATAGTTGGCTAACAATGCTTTCGGAAACGCACCCCTGATAACGACGGAACATAGTTGGCTAACGATGCTTTCGGGAAACGCACCCCAGTATCGGAAGGTCAGGACAGCTGTTGGTTTGAAGAAAAATGGAGCTTCGAGAGAATCGTCACCTTATCTGATGCATAAAAAGGGAAATGATCATCGAGGAGGCATTATTTAAATTATTTAACACTACACTTCCATATAACATTATTTATATTTTCTTAAAACAAAAAACACCTAAAATATATTTTTCAATTGCAATTAGCCTATATAATTATGATCACATACTTTAATACAACCAGATGTCACTAATGCACAATGTGTTAAAAGCCTCGAGTAATGAACCTTTTTTCGGCACAATTTGATGAAAGCCTCAAATGCTTCAGAAAGCCTCGATTTCCCATCAGTTATCGTTGTCTGATTCTCCTTTTCATGATGGACCATACATTTTTATTAGGAGACAGATCTGGAAAATGACTATTTCTCATTGTTCTGTCTATGGAAAACTCTCGGACACCTTAGTTATGTTCTACTGAAACCAATGAAAGTATCAGGAAACAGTCGATACTTTCAGCTAAAATTAGCAGCAGATGACATTTGAATATAGTGATAATGACATGAACATTCTTCAGAACAACTTTTGTGATGCACTGAAGTGAAAAGTCGTGCAGGTTTAGAATGACATATTTATGTTTTGATAAACTATTCGTAAAATAAAAGCTGACTTACACTAAAATACATTTCATTGGCTGTTTAAATAAAAAGAAAGTTGTATGATGTACTGTTAGTCACATTACAAAGAAAAATAATATTTTTTAATCACTGAGGAAAAGTGTCATGATGAAATTATATATAGTATAGCCTATGCATTTTTGAGTAAAAAGTATTTGATACATTATATCTGAACAAAACTCAATAGCCTAATATTATTATAGTGAAGTACTATTGTGATTCGCACATGTTCTTCATCTTTATTAGAATATCTCTGTAATTTCAACCTACAAGTTCTGGATTCTCTTGCTCAGTTGAGAATGTCAACCATGAACATTTTCTCATCTGAGTTGAATGAACTTATCCCGGCCGCGTTTTTGTAACCGAAGTTAACCCTGCTTTAACCCCCAGATAGAAAAAAACAACAACATTTTATCATCATCATCAATTGATTGATTGATTGATTGATTGATTGATGCCAAATTGAGCTTTTACCCTTCGGGGATACACGATCGACATGATCAAATACAGGTAAATGGATAAAAACAAGACTTGACTCATTCAGTTCTGTGCCGTTTATTGAGAAATGTTATTCAGACATCATGCATAAGTTGGTTAGGGGTGCCGCACAGTCTTGCCCATGGATGCCCACTGGAAGTTTAGCGGTACTTCTCAGCAAGAGCCAGGGCCAAGTTCTGAAAAAACTTGTCAACTGACACGTGAACATCTGGGGTGAATTCTCCAGGGAAGAGCATGGCGATGACCACTATGAGGTTGTGTGCGAGGATCTAGAAAAGGAACAAAGAGCTATTACTACATGTCAATGTTGAGTAGACTTGTAGTGCTATTGTTTTGGTGTAGCCTACCTTGAAGTTGGCCGGGTCGATACGCAGCTTGAAAGCATGAAGTTCGCTCAGGGCGGCCAGACCTCCCACAAGGTCGTCTATTTTTGTAACGGCTTCGCCGACGGCACCCATGATAACCTTGCCGTGCTTCCTCACTGGAGCAGAGCCGGGGCTCAGGTCAGCCCAGTGAGAGAAGTAGGTCTTGGTCTGAGGGTAGACGGTCAGCATTCTGAAGAAGAACATAATAACAATAATCATTTTGGGTAATCTAAACATTATGCTAATTAAATGTATAGAGATAAAAATACTAACGTTTCATGTAGTTTAGCAAAGTTATTTAACAAGTTTCTATAAAAATGCGTTAATAATCTTAATTTAAATAGAAAGACAATAGGTCAGTATTACGTACCTGGCCAGGGCTTCAGCGCCGATCTCATCGGCCTTAGGGCTGATCTTACCCCAGATGCCCTTCACCGTAGCCTTGTCCTTATCAGAGAGACTCATCTTTTTTTCTCAAGTTAGATCGTCTTCAGAAAAAACGGTGCTGGCGAAAATGGGATTTTGTTCCACTTTTTATATAAAACTAAAGACGGGCACACCCATGCAATCGATCCAAACCACACCTCTTCAACGCTTTTCTGCTGATCTCTAACCTGTGGTGTCCAATCAAAAACATGCCAATTTTGTGCTTCTTGTTTAATGAAGATAACGATTTTCTTTCTTTCATTCTTTATGCACTTAAAGTTCTATAGGCCTACGCATTTTTACAAAGATGTGTGTAAATTAAATGACAATTCAATGACAAATATGAAATTGATTTTTCATTATTTTTTCAATAGATCATAAATAAATATTAATTTTCATGTTTAAACTTATGAATCATAATTAACACGTTGTTAAAATGAACTGAACCCAAAATACCCAATTTGTGGATTTTTCTCCTAACGTTGAGAAATGGTTTCATTTCTAATCAAATTCATTCTAAATCATAAAGTTAATTTCAAAATCATCAACTAAATATGCTTGCAAAATAACTACATTAATCTTTTTATATATTGTAATCAAAATACCAATTTGGAAAGGTGCTGTTCCCTACACTCAAAAAAAAAATCAAGCCTTTTTTTAAGATTTACGAATTTCAATTGTAGGCTATAGTAAAACTCTCATCTAATTGAATTGAATAATGCTCACATATTATTCATATTATGGATTAAGAATTTGAAATGAGAAAACTAGATCTAGAGCTTAAAACATTTTGTATAAATATTAATGGAACAAGGGAATGGATTTAGTTTATGTAGCCTAGTTTTCGTATTCATACATTTTAAAAAAAACGTTATTTATTCGTTATTTACGAATACGAATCACATACGCTAAATGTGCTTCATTCCCTTGTTCCATTAAGATTTATACAAAATGTTTTATTAAGCTCGATTTTTACTCATTTAAAATTCTTAATCCATAATGTGAATAATATGTAAGTATTATTCGATTCAATTTTATGAAATTTTACTATACAATTGAAATTCGTAAATCTTAAAAATGCATATTTTTTGTGAGTGTAGGTATTTCAACTAAAACAACTACATTTTATTGAAATTTATGAACGTTTGTTTGTTTGTTTTGAAAACATAAACTATTTTTAACCCTATAAAAGTAGGGCATCTTTTGGGAAAGTAATGCATGATCATTATGGGCACGACCAAAATTCGTTATGCATTTGATTAAAAAAAGAAAGAAAAAAAAGCTTGTTCATGTTTACTTGCTACTTTTTGGACGGGGTCCGATCAGTGAGTTCCAGACACATTTGCGTCACCTGCTGAGAGAAATTATCCAATAAGACTTTGCATATTTTAATGGGCGGAGACATCCGACATCAATAAATTGTATTTCGGTTTCTGAATTTCTACTAGTGATTCCTGTTGGACTTAAGCAAGCACCTAAGGACATCCTAAAGCGTAAACATGGTTGAGTGGACAAACGCAGAGCGAAGTGCCATCCTTGGCCTGTGGGGAAAACTCAATATCGATGAAATCGGACCTCAGGCCTTGTCCAGGTAAAATAACCGCACCACATTCTTAATATTCTATCAGGACTCCCTCCGTTAGATGATGTCAGCTACGCAGTTTGTTTAATGCTTCTGTTCTTTTAAGGTGTCTGGTCGTGTATCCCTGGACTCAGAGGTATTTCTCGACTTTTGGCAACCTGTCAAGCCCCGCTGCAATCATGGGTAACGCCAAGGTGGCAGCTCACGGGAGGACTGTGATGGGAGGTTTGGAGAGAGCCATCAAGAACATGGACAACATCAAGGAAACCTATGCCGCGCTCAGTGTGATGCACTCTGAGAAACTGCATGTGGATCCAGACAACTTCAAGGTAGGTTTGCGCACGACATATACAAAACTGTTGTGCTCATATTATGTTGAATATGCCTATTCATCACCGAAAAAAACAGCCACTTAATAGATCTCTTGCTCTACAGCTTCTCGCTGATTGTATCACAGTGTGCGCTGCCATGAAGTTCGGCCCCGCTGGTTTCAGTGCTGACGTCCAGGAGGCTTGGCAGAAGTTTCTGAGCGTGGTCGTGTCCGCTCTGGGCAGACAGTACCACTAGAGTCTCATCACCAATGAACACCAGCTGTACTGCAGAACACAAAGATCTAACTCTTAAACAATAAGATCAATAAAATAATGCTAAAAGCACTTTAATGTTGTTTGCTCCCATTTATTCCACAAAACACACTGACCATATAGTCCATGACCAGAATTATAAACTCTTCAAAATAAAAAAAAATCTTTATGGCAAATTAAGAAAAGAATCTTGTTTTTCAACAACATTATATTGGGGTTTTAACCATTTCTTAGTGAGTTTTTCGACACGACCTAATGAGTCAGAAACTTCTTACAAATAAGCCTTTCAAAGACAGTTGGGATAGATTTGCAGACTGTGGGTGTTAACCACTTGAATTCATTGATAAAAGAAATTAAATTTATCGCAGCCTCCATAAGCTGACACTCTTATCTATTTTTATTAATATAATTATTTATTAGTCTGTTAGTTTCTCTGTTTGTAAATTTGTTTGCAATTTATTTTAGTAAGAGAAAGCAGCGAATTAGCTGCAATATTATGCTTGAATAATATGTTTAGGGAACGTGAGGAAGAACCTTCTTCTTAATATTATTATTATCATGAAATAGTAAAAACAACAATACAAGTTCCTGCAGGCCAAGTTCTATTATGAGCTATTTTGTCATAAGTTTACAAAAAATGGTAATTACAATATGCCAAATAACAAAGGTATAGCAGAACCTACAAGTAATTTTGCACCTCTTCTTCGACTTAACACGTTTAACTCTAAAACTCATCTAACTGAAATGTGGGCAACTCTGAATGTCTAAATTCTTTAAACTACTTTAACTACACTGTTAGCAATTGATGTAATTTTTACAATAAATTTTACAACAACATGTTGTATTCATGTTTTTATTGTAAATGCAAATGCATGATGGGAAATGTATGGACAGTCCTGTAATTTTATTGTAACTACACTGTAGAAGCATTATTTTACAGCCACCGCATAGCATTGTGGGATTGCTGCTGTTTGAATTTTGAAATTGCCCGGCGGCTGCCAACGGTACCAGAATCAAACATTTTAGGAAGAATCAGGTATGAAACATTACCATGAAATCTATTTTATAAGTCTATGGATATCCAGTCACAGCCTTAAAATCAGATAAAGATAAAAAGAAGACATTAAATCTCTGAAGATCTCAGCAGAGGAGGATTAAACAACTCCACAAACAGCATTACCAGCTTCACTTATTACTAACCAGACTGACTTTAATTCAGTCATAAGTCTATGAACGGAGGTTAGATGTCGATGTTTTAAAAGGTTTGCTCACCATTATGGTGATCAGTGTTTACTTTAGTTGGGCAGTTTGACTCTTAGCATTTTAAGTTAAATTTTGGTCTTTGTAACAGTGTTTACCAAAGCACATACTTTGTTACATAGGAAAACAAAACCAAAGGTGTTCAGGTGTTATAGTTTTCATTATCAAAAAAGGAGAATGAATCACTAATCTTATCCTGAACCCTGACCAAAAGTTGTAATTTGTTATTAATAAATAACTTTGACCTTACTTGACACAGGGTATTTTTGTATACATTTTTTTATTTAAAAAAAAAAAAAATCATTATAATTTTTTTTTTAAAACAAACAGACATCAAGAATCACCATATGAATCTCAACAATGGTGACATGCTTCATGCTACAATGCATGCTGGGAGTTTTAAACTATGTAGCCTCCCAGAATGCATTGCGGCACAAAGCATGTCACCGTTGTTGAGATTCATATGTAGATTCTTGATGTCTGTGTGTCTGCCCAAATATTACATTCCCAATTTTAGAAAAAATATCAGCTTGATGTCTGATCTGTATAAAAAAATGTATTAATGACAAATGACCACTTTCGGTTGTTTTTTGTATTTTATTATGTTGTAAACTATACGCCTATCACTAGACCACTTTTGTTTCTGACTTTCTTTGCAACAAATGATGTATGATGACCATAAATTCACATAAGAAGTCTAGAGTCAAATTGCCCAACTAAAGGCAACACTGTTCACCATAATGGTGGCAAAAATTGTACAATGGTAAATTTTTACCATCGTTGTGTTTTTAATTGGCTAATACGGAACTTAGTAAATGTACAGTAAATTGTAATAAATTACAGCATTTTACTGTAATAATGCTACTATAATCACAGTAGCACTGCTGTATAAATACAGTACTTTATTGTAACAGTAAACAGTAAAAATCCTGTATATTACTTGCTGTAAATTTACTGCAATTAGTTGCCAGGAATTTCCTGTAAAATTACAATAAATTGTTAACAGTGTACACCGGACATTTATGAGCCGAAAGCAAGCCGTGTAGATCTACCAAATAGGTCTCCTTGCAATGTCGAAAGTAAATTAATAGCCTGTAAGATATAATAGCTAAAATCGCATTACTTCTTGGCATGCCGATAACAAACAATGACATATTGACTGTAATGTGCCTGACAACACAGCTGGACAACCACATAAACAATAAACAGCAGCTGGAAATGTATGGAATATAACTTAACTGTCAAAATAACTGTCTGTCATTGACTCATTTCTGTTGCAAATTTAACACTTCACAAAAAGACAGGTGTGAAGAAGGAACGAAAGGCCCATACCATAAATTAATTTAGTTATAGGCCTAGATGTACAAAGCACAAAGTGTCCAAGATTTTATGTATTAATGGCAATTTATTGAAATGTCATCTTAACGTTTGCTTATTTTTGTATATTGTAATATCAATCAGTAATTAATCCGGAGATCGAGTCTAAAGTTTTCCTGAAATGAAAAAAAGAAAGAAAGAAAAAAAAAACCTAGCAGGTTGACAGTTGACAAAAATAATAATATAAATAAATGCACCTGTTTTTTGAATAGAGTATACCCCTTGTGTTCTGTTCGATTTCTGTGTACTCCCCTTATGGACCGGGTCAAATTGACCCTAATTGGATTCAATACAAT